AGCTGGGTACTGGTGAAGAATGAGCATCTGTTGTCCTGCAGGCCTTTTGGAGGTGCTGGGGGGCAGTGGGTAGGACGTGGTCAGCATCACAGGGAGAGGCCTGAGAGCTGGAGGGACCAATGGGGTCAGAAGCAGGTATCAGTAGGAAACTCTAGCAGATGCTGATTCTTACTGACTCCACCGCCACCCCACAAACACCAACATTAGTGGCCTTAGGCTCTACCCATATGTGTACAGTGCTTCACAGATCTTAATTTGCCTCCCTGTGCCTCCGTGTCCCCATTTGTAAATGGGTATGCTCGTGTCCCGGCACCGGAGTTCTGTCGTGAGGGGTGAGTAATGCGTGCGTGAAGTGTGTGGTCCGCTGTCCAGCACACAAGAAATGATCCGTTAGTTATAGGGGTGAGCTTTCATGCCCCAGGCAGCACCCAAGCACCCCAAAACACACCCCCACCTACTCAAGCCTCACAGCAGCCTGGGGGTTGGTCCTGGGATCTGCCCCGTTGCACTGGGATCGCGGTGGAGCCCCCGAGAGGACTCAGTCCCTGTCCAGGCTGCTGTAGCAGAATGCCAGAGACTATGGGGCTGAAGCCTCAAACCTTCCTGTTCACAGTTCTGGAGACTGTGGGGGGTGGTGCAAGACCATACCTGAACAAGTTGCTTCTCTCAGGGGTCTCCGTTGCAGGACCTGCAAATAGGAATGATAAGAACACTTGCTCTGCTGCTTCTCAGGGTTGCTGGGAGGGCAAGCTGAGGCCATAAAAGGAAAGAAAGCCATCCTTTCCTTTGTACACTTCCCGTAGGTCTCCAGGAGGGGATGCCAGGGAGGAGAGGGCATGGAGGCAGAACACTGTCTCGGTGGCCTGGGGAAGTCTGTCCCAGAGGCCTCAGAGCTGCCCAGCTCCAGGCCTCGTTTCAAATGGGTGTAAGGTCAGGGTCACAGGCCGAATCTGGGAGTGATCCAGAGCGTCCTGTTTGCTCCCTGGGCTCCTCTGGGGAGCTGAGGGTGGAAAGGGGCCAGGCTGGCCACAGGCTCACCTGCCTGCCTGGGCTGTGATGAACGATGTGCCCTGGGCCTCCACCAGATGTCCCGAGAACTGGGGAAGTGGCTTCCTTGACAGGTTAGGAAAAGGGGAGCAATGAGTAAGACGCTCTAGGGCATGAGGAGGTGTGGGAACAGACATGGAAAGACGTGCTCCACCTTCTGGAAAGCCAAGTGGCTAAAAGCAGGGCTCAACGTCTGCTCATCCTGGGTGTGAATTGGCCACTACTTGACTGGGTGACAGTAGCCTCACTTCCTCGCCTTTACATGGGGAGGTGACAGCAGCACCGCTCCCCGGGCTTCCTGGGTACGCATGAGCAAATGTAATGAAAGTATTTACAAAGTGCATGGGCTATTGTACGCACCCAGTCAATTCTTATTTATCACCAGGAACTAAAACCAATCAAAAGTATCAATAGACAGAGACCTAAGAAGCAACCAAAACCAGTGCAGATGCCTGAGGAGCAGCAAGGCCAGCGTGGTTGCTGGCTTTGACCTGTGAATGTGACTGTGAGCTTCCCTGTGGCCACATCAAACAGGGAAATGCAATGTTGTAGCACCTGAATTACTAAGAATGAGGAAACAGCCCAGTTCCTCAGGAGAAGCACTGCTGCTCTTTTGCTGAATTCTCCTGGGCATTTCTCACCGAGCAGGGGGCTTCCTAAAGGGCGCCCGAGAGAGGCAGTGGGTGGGCATGGGTCCCGGACTGGGATACACACGGCATCGTAGGTGTGATTGTCACATGGAGCCATGTGTAGGCACCGCGAAGGAAAGGAGAAGGGAAACCCTGCACGGTGGTTCAGAGAAGGCAGCTCCATGGGAGGAGCAGGAATGTGACGAAAGTCTGAGCTCTCCGGGTTCAAAGTGAAGGCTTAAAGAGCTCCAAGGGGTGAGTGGCAGGACTGGGGACCGCTAATCCCTCAGGGAAGCAGGGGGAGCCCAAGACACTGCTCGCTGGGGTCCTTGGAGGTCCAACTTCCCAGCTGTGTGGCCTTGGGCGAGTCGGCCCCCCTCTCTGAACCTCCATTTTTTTGCACCTGGCAGTTAGATTTACCCCTTCGGGGCTGTCAGGAGCACTGCATGGAGCCTGGCAGAGCAGTGTTGGGCGTATACTGAACGTTCCAATAAATGTTGGCTGTGTGTATACAGAGAAGACGCATTTGTAGTTACACATGCTTTTTTCAGGAGCTTCCTGATTGTTTGTTGAAGGAACACAAATAACTAGAACTTTATAGCTCTTTATCATTTACCGTTGGCCAAGGGTTCACTGCCGCTTCACCTGACCTTCCCGACAACACGAGGGAGACACTCTTACCCCTATTTGAGGGACAAGAGATTAGAACTTAGAGAAGCAAAATCCTTGCCTGTGTCACCCTTGATCCGCCCTTAAACCCAGAAGTGGGGAGGTAAGTGGAAAGGACGTGAGGGTCCTATGGCCTTTCCAGCCCCTCCTCCCTTCCCAGGCAAAGTTCATTTTAGGAGGGCCTTAAGAGTAGAATCCTGGGACTGGAAAAGCATAGTGCTTGCCCTGTTCTAAGAGCTTCACAGGTGACATTCAAGCCTCACAGCCATCCCATGAGTTAGAGACTGTGGGGATCACACCCATTTTACAGATAAGACAACTGAGGTGTTGAGAAGCTAACTGACTTGCCAATGGTCACAAGAGGTTCATGTAGACCCAGGATTTGGGAGCTGGCAGCCTGGTTGGGCCGCGGAGTCTGTGTCCTTGACCCCCTGCTCTATGGCCTGGGTTGGCGCAGAAACAGGCTCAGGGTGGGAGGGATGTGTGTTGGGACAGGCCGAGGGCAGGCGTGTGATGAAATACTCTCCCGGGGAGGGCTGAGGGGCTCAGGGGGAGAGCACAAGCCAACTGGGGACACTGACTCACTTGATTCCTAGTCGGCTGAGGGGGTGGACGGACAGACATGCCTAGAGGATGTCAGTGTCACCCTGTGCCACCTCAGCCTGCCCACCCCCATCCCTGCTTACCGATGAGAAGACGTAGCCTCTGCCCCCGAGCTGTTCCCAGCCCAGCTGGAGAGCCAGACATGACGTTATCTGTGTCCAGTGCCTGTCTGTAGACGCTTGGAAAGTGCTGGATCCCCACTCCTCTTCGCCTTCCTCTTGGGTTCAGATGTGTGCGCCCCCGCCCCCCCAGCCCCACAGCCAAGGAGGGAGGCATGCTGGGGGCAGGGAGATAATCCCGCCTGCTGCAAGAAGCATAGGACAGATGCGCAGGCTGGGGGACGCCCCCCTCCAGGCTCCTTCGGGCTTCCTGGCCTTGCTCCAGCCCCAGCACACATCTGTCCTGTGCCTTGTGACTGGCCGTGAGCCCCTGCGGGAAGGGACCCAAGGAAGGCACTTCCACGTGCCTGGGGCCTGCACAAGCTGGCATAGGGAAGGAGGACATGGTCATTTCGTCTTCAAGGCCACTCTCGGTGACTGTCATCAGACCATGATTTTGGGGGCAGCATGTAGTGACGGTGAGAGCCCTTGTTCTGCAGACCTGGTCTTGAACACCGGTCACATTTTGCCCCAGTTACAGGGGGTGGGGGGTGCCGCACTATTTCCATCTCCTCTCTGCATTCCAGGGGTCACAAGAAGCCCCAGGGAACCCCTCACTGGGCATGTCTGGACTGTCCTCCCAGCCTGCGGAGTAAGTTGATACCCACGTGGGGTGACACTTGAATTCTGAGTCCCTTGAGCCTATGATGCTCAAGGGAATTGTCCAAGTGGCTTTTATTTAATAAAAACAAAAGATGACTTTTCTGCCATAAAATACAACCTCAAGCCCATTAAGGACCAACAGTGCATTTCTGCAGTGGAAGGCTGGAGTTATTTATAATGAAGCATTGATTGGCAGTCGTGCGAGCTGAGCGTCTGGTTTGGAGCTCATGTGTCGGGATGGGAAGAGCTTGAGTGGTGGAAGGTGTTTGGGTGTCCAGCTATCAGAGCCCCATGTTCAAAGCCCAGCCTGGAATTCAGCAGTTCCCCCACGGGGCCCTAACAGAATCACTAATATTTTTTGAGGGTTTATGATGCGCCAGCAACGAGCTGATGTGCCCTATTCCCGGTGCCTGCAATTTTTATTTCCGTCCTGCGAAGGAGCGCATGTTCCCATTTCATGGATGAGGAAACAAAGGCTCCAAGAGAGGTCACATAGCCAAAGCCACATGGGTGAGGTGGTCGAGGTTGGGTTTGAACCATGCCCGTGGGCACACCTCCAAGACCTCCCAAGCTTGCCAGCTCCCCAGAATCTCAGGGTGTTCCTCCTTAGAGTGGGAAAATCCCCAGCAAAGTTGTTCTGGGAATTGGCCCATGTGCCACTTAAGTCGCCTGGCACATGGTAGGTGCTCGGTGAGTGGATTCGTGGCCATGTCCTCCCCAGACTGCTGCGACACAGGTCTGTGTGTGATCCATGGCCCCCACGGAGCTCAGGGTACGCCCGGAGGAAGGATGCTTCTCTCTCTCTGGGCCTCAGTTTCCCCAGATCTGAAACAAGAGTCCCCACGCCGGCCTCTGAGAGGCCCTGGGAAGACAAAATGAGGGAATTATTCCTTGGCATGTAGTGGGTGTTCAGGGCCATTTGTCCTCTGTCTTCCGGGTAACGGGATGGTGTTTTCTGGGCTGTCCTGGCAGCAGACCTGCGTGGAGCCGTCTGCGCACTCTCCCCCGTGCCTTCCCCTGCACCCACCCCCGACTCAGGCCCTCCTCTGTGGATGTGCTGGGTGGGGTGGGGGTGAGGTTGGGATGAAGGGTCCGGTGCTTCATCTGGTTTCGAGGGGCTCGGCCACTCCCCGGCCTCCACCCTTGGGTATCATTCGGCCTTTCTGAGCCTCTGCTTCCTCCTCTGTGTACTGGGAGCAGTGACGACAGAGCCTGTCCCTGGCTCTGAGTCCACCCAGGCTCCCACCCCAGACCTGGCTCCAACCCCTGCCTCTCTGTTCTTTTCCTGCAGGTGTCTCTAGCTGTGCCCAGGGACTGACGGGCCGAGGACCCCATCGGAGAGCCTTGGACACGCTAACCGAACGGTGAGGGGCTTTTGTGGTTGCAACTAGCGTCTCCAAAGGCCACACCAGTGGGGGACCCGTGACAAGGGGGGAGCACTTGGAGAATGCCAGCCAGCTGTCTCCTGGGTTTGGGAAACATGGAGGGACCCGAGCTCCCAGCACTGCACTCCCCTCCTACATTGCACCGAGCATCATCACCATTTTACCATGAGTTGAGGAATCTGATGAATGATTGTCTCCCTCACTAGACTGTAAGCAAAGGGGAGGGTCCCGGAGAGGCAGCAAAACAGGGTGGTAAAGAGGCTCGACTCTGAAGCTGGGTGTGGCTCCCGGCTCTGCCTCTTCTTCGGCCGTATAACCTCAGGCAAGGGACTTAGGCTCCCTCTACCTCAGCTTCCCTGTCTGTGAAATGGGGTTTGTAGTTAAGTAAGCACTTAAGCCATCAAGATACCGAACTGGCCTGGCCCCGAGTCAGGCAGATCCCCGGCGGCCTTGCTGGTGTTGGCCAAGCCCTTGGAGCCAGTCGCCATCACGCTTCCCCACTGACCCCTGTCTCCCCTCGCAGAGAATGGGGGACGAGGATTACAACACTTCCCTCACCTACGATGACTACCCGGACGATTTTGACCCCATCATGGTCCTGGAGGAGTCTTCTCCCCTGGAAGGCACAATGGCCAGGATCTTCCTGGTGGTGGTCTACAGCATCATCTGCTTCCTCGGGATCCTGGGCAATGGGCTGGTGATCATCATTGCCGCCTTCAAGATGAAGAAGACGGTGAACACGGTCTGGTTCCTCAACCTGGCCGTGGCGGACTTCCTGTTCAACGTCTTCCTCCCGATCCACATCACCTACGCTGCCCTGGACTACCACTGGGTCTTCGGGACGGCCATGTGCAAGATCAGCAACTTCCTCCTCATCCACAACATGTACACCAGCGTCTTCCTGCTGACCGTCATCAGCTTCGATCGCTGCATCTCCGTGCTCCTCCCCGTCTGGTCCCAGAACCACCGCAGCGTGCGGCTGGCCTACGTGGCCTGCATGGTCATCTGGGTCCTGGCTTTCTTTCTGAGCTCTCCCTCCCTGTTCTTCCGGGACACGGCCCATGTGCACGGGAAGATAACCTGCTTTAACAACTTCAGCCAGTCGGCGGCCGGCTCTGCCCCGTGGCCCACTCACTCCCGCCTGGACCCCGTGGGCTTCGGCCGGCACACAGTGGTGACCGTCACCCGCTTCCTCTGTGGCTTCCTGGTCCCCGTGCTCATCATCACGGCCTGCTACTTCACCATCGTCTGCAAGCTGCGGCGCAACCGGCTGGCCAAGACCAAGAAGCCCTTCAAGATCATCATGACCATCGTTACCACCTTCTTCCTCTGCTGGTGCCCCTACCACACCCTCCACCTGCTGGAGCTCCACCACACCGCCGTGCCCAGCTCCGTCTTCAGCCTGGGTCTGCCCCTGGCCACTGCCATTGCCATTGCCAATAGCTGCATGAACCCCATCCTGTATGTCTTCATGGGCCAGGACTTCAAGAAGTTCAAGGTGGCCTTCTTCTCCCGCCTGGTCAATGCTCTGAGCGAGGACACGGGCCACTCCTCCTACCCCAGCCACAGGAGCTTTACCAAGATGTCATCAATGAACGAGAGAGAGACCAGCATGCTTTGAGGCCCATCTGGGAACCCCGATGGACAGACACTCTGGCCTTGGAGGCCGCAAACTCTGCCTTCTTGAGACCATGGAAGAAACCTCCCCAGGACACACTGACACCCCCTGTAGTTTGCATGGTGTTGACTGGCATTTTGAGCTGGGAGTCCAGGGCTTGGAACTCCTTTGTTCGAGTGGCCTGATGGACTGGGCAAGCCATGTCCTCTCAACCTTGGACTCTTTCCATGAGGATCTGGGGTCTGGGGGAGGCAGGGAGGGAGAAGAGCTCAGGCCCTCAAAGGAGGCTGACTGAAGATACTCACCCTTGAACTTTCCAGGGTGATGGTGCTTTGCGGGGCCTTAGCTGTTTGGGAGATGGGATGGTGCCAGCCCCTCGCCCCAGGCCCTGCTCGCACCTTGCCTTTGTTTCCTGGGGGCCGGGTCATGGCAGGCAGCATCATCCGCAGTTTCCACCCCATCCTGGGCCTGCCCTTCTTTCCCTGGTCCACCGACCCCGGCTGCCGGTGCTCAGAATAAAGCACGCCAGGGCGGGGGGCCAGGGAAGGAGGGCCTGTCCTCCTCCTCAGCTTCCTTCGAGCCTTGCCCAAGTCAGCTTCAGGAAACAAGCTGGGGTTGTCCTGCAGGTTGAAGAGCGGGTCCAAGGTCTCAGTCACGGAACTCAGCGGAGCCTGCAGCCTGGGCCCTTGTCCTGTGCTGCTGAGAGGCAGGCGGTGGGGCCCGCCCAGGAGCAGCCCTGTTGCCGTTTCTCAATGAGGCCTGACACCTTCCCGTGCTACAGTGTCATTATCCCACTTACAAGTGACAAAGAGGACGTTCCTTTTCGGGGTGGGGATGGGGAGTAACTCACAGTGACACGCAGCTAGCCGGAAGCCAAGTTAAGAGGTGAAGCCAGCTCTGTCTGGCTCCAGAACCTCTGTTTTTTTTTTTTTAATGGAGGGTGTATCTATTGAGAATATTCTAGACTCTCATGATAGCCTACATTTACTTAGCATGCCCTATGCTAGACACTGTCCATGTGTTATCTCATTTACTCCCCTCTGCCCCGGCAGGCCTGAGTTAGGTACGGTTATTACTTCCCTTTAACATATGACGGATAGCTGCAGCTCAGAGAGGTTAGGTAACTTGCCTAAGGGCGTCCAGTGGGTCTCTGCCAGAACCTGGATTCGAAAACAGGTCTTTCTGGCTCAAAGAAGGCTGTAGAATCAGGGTGCGGAGAGAGGCTTGGGGTTTTGACCATAAATATCTATTACTTGGCAGATTCATATAAACCTCTTAATAGCGCATAACCCAGGCTTGCAAAAAGTTTTTCAAAATGACCCAACACGGCAAAGAAAGTACACTTGGCCTCCAGTCTCCTGACACCCACCCACACGTGCCCACCGTGGTTCCCATTTGCTGCACCCCCGGCAACCTCCAGGGAAGGCGGGGTGGGGAGAGAGGCTGGGCCAGAGGCGGTCTCCAGTGGGCCTGAGGCCCTCCAGCCTCTGAGTGTCCACGTTCTCTTGTCTTCCATGTGCCGCCGTTGTGAAGCCAATTCCCTGACAAGATGCAGTGAACACATGTAATGTCTACACAACGCTGGGCAAGTTCCCGAGGCCACGGGCTGTTTGGAAATCACACCTCATTAAGAGAGAGACTGTTCCTTCCCTCCTTGGGTCATTGTGCTTATGAGGAGGCAGCTCGGAACTGACCCTAAGTCAGGGCATCCAGTGGCTTCAAGAAATCTAAACTCGGGCCATCTGGGAGCAAAAAAAGGGAGCTTGAAGTCGTGGCCAGTGCCTTTTGTCACCTCCCACCACTGTGGCACAGGTGAAGGAGCTAAGGCACAAGACAGCATGGGATGTCCGGCCCCAGAGGGACAGTCCTCAGCCACTCAGCCTCTGACCCCCAGGTGCTACTTGCTCGGGCTGGGGCCCTCACTCCTCCTGGGCTGCATGCCGTCTGGGCCGGGCCAGGGAGCCAGGAAATCATTTTGTCGTTGGAAAAGCTGATGAGCAGGAGTAAAACTCAAACCAGCTGTTTCCTCCTTAGGGTCAGGCCTCTTTCTGGCTGCCCCACCAGGAGTTTCTCATTAAATACTGAAATGCAACCGTGACTTCCTCCTGCATCTTGTCCCTGCAGCTTCTTCAGAGTGTCTCCCAGGGGACATATACAAAGGTCCTGTGGTTCACAAAGAGTGTGCCCCTGCACTACTCCACAGGTGGCCAACGTGCTTTGTGCCTGAGAGGGCCTGCCCCTGTTCGGGGCCAGGAACCAGACGATGGGGCACCCATGCTGCTTCCTGGGTGGGGTGGGTGGGCGGAGGGCAGACGGGGAAGTGGGCACAGGGACAAGAAGTGAAGGTGGGGTTTGACAGGAAGAGAGGAGGGAAGCACAGAGGAAATGCAAAATAGAGACAAAGCAAAGGGGTCTGGCATTCATTAAACAAGTCTTATGTGTCAGGCTCAGGATCTCATCAGACCCTCAAAAGGAGAAGAGGACCATCGGAGCCACATGGGTGATGCAGAACCAGAGGTTCGGCTTGCAGACCCCACCTGCTCAGGGGGAGCTCCCAGCTTATTCAGCCTACGGGAGGAAGGAGGGGGCAGGAGGCAGAAGCGGGACCAGAGGGAGGGGCTCAAGAGGGGACAGTGACCCAGATGTGGCACTGGCTGAGGAATGAGGAAGGAGTGGCTTAAGCCTGCCCCCAGAGTCAACTCGGGAGGGCTTAAGGGCCATGCTGGGCAGGAGAGGATAGAGCCCAACAGTGAGTGCCACAAGGGGCGTTCCCATTTTACAGATGAGGGAGTTGAGAGCTGTTCTTTGCTGCAAATGGAGCTGGTATTTGCTTGGATGGAAGTGATCCGTGATTCCCCAGCCCTTCCCTCTCCCGTTCCTCCCTAGCACGTGGTGCTATGGTGGAGATGGGTGCCCTGGGCCTGTGATTGCCAAACCCTGGATTCGGAAAATTGCTGCTAGGGGTGGTATTCAGGACCAGGAGGATCCAGGAAGCTATTTGTCCAACCAAGAAATAATTCAGGAGGGTGGGGGTTGCTTGCTTTCTCCCTTTGAGGACATAGTTGCTTTTGAATAAAGAAGCGAGAGATGAGAGCGGGGCTCCGTGCTGGACGTTCCTGCCCACCCCCAAACCCTCTTGCCTTCCTCCTCCACCTCACAGAGCAGCAGGCGAGGCTCAGAGAAGTGCAGCACGCTGCCCAAAGTCACATAGCAGTGTTGTGAAATGGCAGCAGAAGGAAGCCAGAAATTTCCTACCATTCCCCAAATTTAGGACTTCAAAGAAACTGTGTTTTAAAAAGCATTCTCTCCACTTTATTTCAATTTCTTAGCAACCAAGGACAGTAGATTGTTATAGTAATGACTCAAGATAACCCCACCCATCCACTCCAACATCCCTCTACCCACCCAGCTACCCAGCCACCCATCCATTTACACAACCCATTCATCCATTCCATAAAAATCTGTTTAATACCTTCTCTTTGCCAGGCCCTGCGGTAGGCACCGGGAATGCAAGGGTGATCAGGGCATTCACAGTCCCTGTCCTCAGGAGCTCATTCATTGGTCAGTGGGAGAGATAGCCAATAATTTTTTAAAAACCACACCCTTGATGGAAAACAACCACTCGAAGCGCTACACACCTATTAGAGAGAGATCTGACTCTGTCCAGAGGCGAGAGAAGCCTTGGGGAAGAGACGCTTGAGTTGAGATGTGTGGGATGGATAGGTGCTGATTCGGTGGTGGAGGGGCGGGTGCTGGAGAAGGTGCTCCAGGTGGCGGGAACAGCATGGGAGGAAAGAGTGATGGCAAGGGACGGAAGGGGGTGGGTGCTGCAGCAGAGGGAGGAGAATGAGCCCAGAGCAGACAGGATGGAGAGGAGGGCAGGGGAGGCCATGGACAGGGCAGGACGTGCTCAGATCTGCATCTTGCAATGATGGCGGGGGCTGCTCTGGGCGGAACAGGATGTGGAAGAACAGGAGGGGAAGCCGGGAGGCTGCCGCAGCCCCCAGCTGAGGGTGATGGGCGCAGAGGTAGAGCTCAAGAGAAGGGGACTATTCTAGAGATACTTAAAATCTACCCAAGCTTTCTCAGGGGAGCGGTTAGCGGGAAGCAACGCAGGGCCCATTTCAGCGGCACAGAGGCCTCCGTGCGTTCCTTTATTGATGGAAATTAATTGTAAATATTATTCAAATTTACCTCCCAATGCACAATTACATTTCTCAGGGGAGCCCTCTGAGCACATAATAAAGCCCTATAAATAATACATATATTAACCTAAGAGGAACGGAGGCACATTAATGCTGCACTTGCGGGTGGCGGCTGGGGGAGTTGATGCAGACAAGACGCTAAATGCTTGGACCGAGGATTAAACTTGGGAGATCACCCGAGCTCTGTCCTGGGGAGCTTATGGAAGTCTCCCCCCATTCCCAGAGGGGCAGCTAGCTATTGCTCTAGAGGCCCAGTCAATGGCCAGGTGGTGAGGGTGGAGAAAGCACAGGTGTATAGGACCCTTACCTTGTTCCCGAAGCCCCAAGAAAACATTTCCCATCGTCATAATAGTTGGTCCTATTAACTGAGCATGCGCAGGGTTTGGGTCTCCCCCAAGTGCTTTGGTTTCATTATCTCGTTGGATCTTTACAACAACCTTTGTGGCAGCAGCCATTCCTCTCCCCACTTCCCCATGAGGAAATGAAGGTTCAGAGAGGTGCAGTGTCCTGCCCAGCATCACACAGCTAGTAAGTGACAGAGCTAGGCTTTCCAACTCAAGTGTTTAACTTGAAAGCAACTTGCAAACACAAACTGTCCTCTAACGAGACTCCTTCCTGGAGAGAGGAAGGCAAGTGTATGCTCCCTGTCCAGCGTCAGATTTTAAGGAGATGGGAACGGGGCTTGGGGGGTGGATCTGACAGATTGCTTTTTCCTCTTGGAGGAAGGAAATGGTGTCCGGATGGGCTCGTCATTTCCTCACAGCCCTAGGAATCTTAAAAACCACATCCCTTCCCACCCCCAGCCCCCATTTACAGATGGTGAAACTGAGGCTCTTTGCAGATCAGAGGGGAGCCTCCCACCTCCCTGACTGCTGGGACATGAGATGCATGTGGGAAAATGCCCACATGAGCCACATTTCTGAGCACCACTGTTCTAGAGATCCGAGCATTCACTGAGCCTCTAGTTTGTCAGTAAAGGCTTTGGTGCTGAGCTGCCATGAAGGAGCCCTGCCCAGCATCTGGGGCGGGGGCGGGGAATGTCACTGGGTCATTTCCAGCAGAATCCTATAAAGGGAAAGCAGGAGACCTTGGAAACCCTGGTACAGGGCAGAGACAGGCCGTGTTTGGGGCGTAAACATTATCCCTCACGTTTGTCCTGCATATGGGTAACGATGCTCTCTATCCGGATCTTGGTGCTACTTACAGGACTATCTTCATCCATCCAACCTCATTTGTCTATACATACGTGATCACTGCACTTTACTGTAGTAAGTTAGGCCTCAATGAAAGTATTTGGAAAAATAAATTATAAAATAAAATGTACCATTTATGAACCTATTCATGGGGCCCGCAGGAGTGACACGCCACTTCCTTTGGCACTCTGGACAGAATCAGATTCAAGAGAGCAAGTCAGAGGGAGGTAGTCCCAGCAGGGTCCATCCAGGGAGGCAGCATCTCGGGAAGGACTGAGCTCTCCCAGGGGTCACCCCAGCCCTTTCCCCATAGCCTTGGATGGCTATGACACGGGGTTGTGTGGGCTCAGGCTTGAATCCCAGCTCCACCACTGACGTGGGCTATGGTTAAGGCCCTATGACTTGGCCAAGCAGCTCAACCTCTCCAAAGCTTCAATGTTCTCATCTGGAAAATGGGTTTAAGAATCTGCAGCTCACAGGGTTGCCACGAGGATTCAAGGAGATGTCACAGGTACGCACTTGGCAGGTACCGGGCTCGCACATACCACCCACTTTCATCTGGAAGTACGTCAGCCTCCTTCCTGGGCTCTGGCCCTCCAGCCTGGCCCCGCCCCCCGACAACCCACCCTCCACGAAGCAACTGGAGTGAGCTCCGTCACGGAACACAGCAATCCAAACCCCTACAGGGGCTTACAAAGCCCTAGAGGATCGGCACTGCCTCTCCTTCAGCTCATGCTCTTCCCCATGCAGGCGTCCCTCCCTCCCCAGACCACTGATGGCATAACCAGTCCCCCTCCTCCTGCCGGTACCAGCCCCTTCTGAGCGAGGCCCTTCTGGACCCCGCCCTGCAGGTAAAGAAACCCCATCCCTATTCACGGTCTATCAGATCCC